GGAGCTCTCTCACGGACTGTGCTGGTGGTGTGGGTGGGAGAGAGGGGAGGGAAGGGAGGGGAGGAGGTGGCAGACAGGAGGAGAGAGCTGTCATCTCTGGCTGCCTCTGGGGAGTTGGAAAACTACTCTTTTGCCTGGATGGACTGTTGAGAAATAAAGAAGAAGGAGCTAAACAATCTACATAGATGTTTGTAGTATTGGATTTTCAAAAAAGGAAAATTACAGATACGCTTGTAGTGTAACTGACCCTGTTTTTTGGCACAAACGGCACCTCGTTCTCTCCCGCTCTCTTCTTTCTCGCTTCCCATTCAGTAAGGACCACAAGGAGCTGCTATTGAAAATTGTTCCAAAAGATTTCGAATGCGAGTCACTTCTTCTCATTGACTTCCAGCAGGTCAGTAATTGTCAGCAGTAGGATTTGTATGTATTTGAAGAGCTCCAACACTATTATTTCAACCTTCTACCTCTCTCTCTCCCTCCCTCCTCCCTCATTCTCCAGCGCTCAGTCTACCAGCTACCTCCCACAGAGTGGCTGACTCACGACTCTCTGCCAGTGGCCATGTCTGACTTTCTCTCTCGCTACACCTCTGGCGCCCTTCCACCCACCAGTCAGTTATAATACTAATTTTGACCCACGCCCTTCTCACAAAGTTTAAACTGGATGAGTGAAAGCTTTCCTGTATTGGAAGAAAATTTTAACACACCAGACATTTCTAAGACCTTGCTTTCGCTACACCATATCTGAAGACCAGCTTTAGAGGGCCACGTCTAAAACTATATACATGCAGTTAACGTTTCCCTTTCACAATCACTATTATATAACCGTTGCTCATTCAGGTCACCTGACAGATTGGACTTGGCCACCTCTACAACCTCCCATCTACTTCCCAAGTGCCAGAAGAGGCCAAAAGGATATTGGGGGCACATCTCCACCCTTTCCCCCTCTCCCCACTATCACACCCCATATCTTCCCCCAAGCCAAGGACTCATCCTTTGCCCCTCCTCAGCCGCATGCTCACACTGAGCTGTAATGACTGCCGTTTTAGTGTATTTTTAGCAGTTGATTTCAACAGATAGGTTCGATTTTACTGCAGGTCATTGGCAAGCAGGAGCAAGCGATATACGTTACACTGAACGACAGCCGAATAAACGTGCACCCGACCCACCCCTCCCAAGCAACAAGGCTTGGGGAATTATTATGGCGTAGCGGCGCTAGTATAATTCTGCGCGCGAGCGCGGAATCAGGGCGGGCGCGGCGGCCAAGTTGCGCGCGCATGCACACGTGCAGCCGCCATGCATAATGGTGACAGTTACCGAATTCTAGCAAGCAGCTTTTAAAACTGCAAACATATTCCAGCCACAACTACTGCCCTGTTGATGTTGCCGTGCGTTATTTGCCCCAGACGCGAATATTACAGCTATATATAGCTTGACTACTTTTATTCACTGTTATATAGTACATAGCTGGCGCAAAATAATACTAAAAGTGCAGTTGTGATAACAACAAGCTATCGTGACCTAGATCAATCGCTCTATATAATATAACCCTCGGCGCGCATGCGCATCGAGGGTTAGTTTGTCTGTGTGTGTGTGTGTGTGTCGACGCGTATTCTGGCACTACAGGCTACGAGGCGGCCCATTAGCGATACCAGCGGCTTCAGTACACGAGCCTGAAAAATAAAACGGCGATTTTTCTTAAACGACTGCGTTCGAGAGCGACAAACTGGTTGCGTGGCCCAATCCCCATCAATAAGCGGTGCGCATGCGTAGATCAACGCAGCTCCACCTCGGTCTGATCCGCTTGCTCTGTGTACCTTGGAGGCACAAGAAGCCACCGCAAAGGCGCGTGTATCGACTCCCGCATGCTATCTAATACCGTAGCTAGCCCGTGTCAGACTCTCCGCGGGCTTCTAGCGGGAGACCGCGGGTAAACGCTAATAGCTGGCCTAGCCCGGCCATTTAGCGGCACCGCGCATGCGTAGTTCGCCGAGGGTTTTCACTTTAGTGCTTTTCATTATACTATATAGCAAAAAATTTCATGAAAAAGTGCCAAAGTAGTTATCTAACATGTAGGCATTTAGATGACAGTCTCCATCTCAAGCATAGCGTCATTAGCAGATTCTGCAGCAGCTTTCTTGGCTTTCTCCCTCTTCTCCCTCTTCTTTATTTTCTTCTCCTCCTCATCTTCATCTTCTTCATCTTCATCATCGTCTCCCTCCAGAAATCGTGGCAAGAGTTTAGACTTGAATAGCCACACGAGTGGAGAGGAGAGGAGGAGAGATGGCAGAACTGACACTCCAAACAGAATAAGGGGGTTGTCGCTAAAGCTGCCAGAGACCAGGAGCTGATATAGCGAAACGAAAGGGACAGAGATAATCAGAATAAACACCAGTGTTATGGTAGTTGAAGAGAGATAGAGGATGAGTCTTCCTGTTGTGGGTGGCTTCTCTTTCCACAGGAAAACGGCCATGAACGTAGCCAGACAGTAGAGAGCAAAGGCTACAAAAGTGAAACTGTACGCACCAACCATCCTAAACGGGTAGATAAAGGTTTGAAGAAGAACGGGAACTGCACTAAACGACAGGATGGATGCTGACAAAAATACTGTCATGTAAAGGATGTAGATGGCCAAAAAACGATTGCAATTCCTGATAGCCCTCTTCAAGACTCCTGGGCAGGGAATCAGCCAGCGAAGAGTCTCAAGGAGATGGATCCATACATTTCGAATCTTGCGGACCTTCAGCAGAGGACTCAAGAAAAACTTGTAGAAAAAGGCAAGAAGAAGAATGAAGGTGCTGAAAAACGGTATCGAGACTACAAAAGCACGCCATTCGGGAATGAATATCTCGCGGTGTCGAGTCTTTCCCTGGAGAAACCGCACTAGGATAACAACAAAGGCAACAATCATATAAACCCACATCCACACGATCCACGCCATTTTGTGTACAGCAGCTGACTCGGTACAGCTATTCTTGTACAAACACCAGATGCACAGGTTCACCATTTCAAAGAGTAAAAGGAAAAAGTTGACTTGAGTAAGAATGGCAACACCACTCCAGATGACGCTGTAACTGAACAAAAAGTTCTTTTCCTCGCTGTTTGCCGGAGCAACGTTCCGCAGGGCATAGTAGACTTTAAAGCTGATCATGAGAGTAAGGACAACTGACAGGATCAAGTTTAGGTGTGGTAGACTATTGCTCGATGGATATGCAATAGCAATGTATTTCCACCACTGGTCTATGAAGACGTTCCCTAGTAAAGCGTATCCCCTCTCCTCTGCTCCCCAAGACGATACATTCTCTTGTGAGTCTGCATACACCTTGAGCTGCAACAAGAACAATCAACAATATTCATAACTTGAGACTAGGGTTTACCCATAATGATGCCCTCTAGGTGATATAATAGCTAAGTAGCATACTTAAACTTAAACATTACCCTTTACAGGCATTATAATCTTACAGGATATGGGCGTGGTGAAATATAGAAAGTGGACACCGCCACATAACTATGCACCGCTAGTTTCAAGCTACGTACAGCTAGCTATGAGACTTACAACGGACGTAAGATCGTACAGACTTCCCTCCAGTGCGTATACCGTAGGCCAGCACGGTAGCTGCAGGTCTATTGCCACCTCCACAGTAAGTATGGGTCCCACTGTAGGCCAGGTTAGAGCAGTCGGGACCGAGTTAGTGGTGTAGATACCGTCGAATCCGGCCAGTATCGCTTGAAGCAACTGCGGCTGGAGTCTGTTGACGGTCGCCGGATGGAACAGGGTGTAGAAGATTTTGGAGCTCCATGCGTGGACCTTCAGGAAGCGGCGAACTGCTTCGGGCAAGTGGTCGTAGCGAGGGTTGGTCGACGATTCGGGGTCCCCAGGACACGAACGGTTGCGCACCGATGAAACTTTGAGGTCGTAGCTGACGTTCACCAGAGCGGGCTGCGTCTGTGACGTCGGATAAAACACTTTGCGGAGAGAATAGAGGTTTGCGTCCGAGTCGACAATCTGTTTCTCCAATCGCCTGAAAATCTCGGCGCAGATCGAGTCTTTAGTCGAGACGAAGTTAGAGCAAGGGAACTGCGGTTGCTGGGTCCTGCCCAGGCTCAGGACACCCAGAACTGCAACGATCTTGAGGAAGATCATGGACAAACAAGCAAAATACGGAATTTAGTGGCTATCTCGCACGTTTTATGCGACAGCGCGCTCGCTAGTGGGCGTGGCTGTAGTCGGCAAGACGTGTGCAATAATTATAGGGGCTATATATAATAGTACGTGCTTATGGGCGCGCGTTGCGCGACCGGATCATGATTGGAGCTGGACATGCTGATGTTGTGCACTTAGCTAAGTGTAGGTAGGGTAAAAGTGGGGGTAACTTCGGACACTGGAGGATATATACACATACATTACTCAATGGTTCTCACTTGAATACCCTCGCGTTTCAGTTCGCGCAGTGGTCGAGTGGTACTCCCCATGCCGGGAGTTACCTATGCGTCCAGAGCTATATACCCCCACTCAGATACCTTAGCAACTTTTGTTCTTCTTACGTGTGCATTTTGCTTCGTCTTCAAGAGGCTGAAACGCCAATTGAGTCCCTCGCATGCCTATAGCCGCGTCGGGCAACGTGACGTTTACGTGAACGTACGTACGTGTGAAGTGAACGTTGAACGGCTGAAAACGTGATGTCACGTGATCCCCG